CTGAAGACTGCATGGCTATTTTCATGGCAACAAACTAGAAGAAACTCCAGAAAATTTCTCCCAAGCTTTCTCGATCCTTGCAGATTTCACCCAGTCATGGATAATCCTTGCTTCTAGCTTGCGTGCCTCTGTGACAGATGGAGGATCAGCTGGATTATATCCTCTGTGGAGAAGGCGAAGTGATATACACTCATTAGTTGTGAGAATACATTGATAATCACTTTCCTCAATCTGCTGGCAATGCTCCTACTAATGCACAGGTCAAAGGGGAGAAGGTAACCAAGGACTTGCTGGCACAAAATACATACCGGAGATCCAGATGATGAGCACCTCCCTCAATGGTTATTGCAATTAGTGATGAACTCAGGTTACTGCGTATCTGGAATAAGATCTATGAGTCAAGTTCCCCCTTCTACATAAGTAAAATTTAATAAGGAATTTGAAAATTAGAAATAAAGACAGACAACAAAAGGAAGATGATTAGGCCACTGGGAACAGCTACTGGTGTATCAGGAGCAGGAGTCCTAGACTCCTGCTTCTCTCCTACTACTGGTAGCTCAAGTGTTTTGCCCCAGATAAAAATTACCATTTCCTCCATTGCAGGTGAAGGCACCAATTACTAGGTAAGACTTGTTTCTCCAATAAACAAGTGGTAGTAACAGGATCCATCAATCTACCAGGAATGACCAGTTACATCCGTCTGCTGAGGGGTCTGACTTCAGCTTGCACAGAAGTTATCTTCAGCTATTGAAAGTGGGTGTCTGCATTGAACTTGCAGGTGTGATAACTACTGCTGCAAGCCTCCATCAAAAACCATCACAGGACAGAGAGGGGATAGGCTTTGTAACAAAGTGACCAATGAGCTGAAGTGATGGAGGCCACACAGTCTGTGTGATAGCCATGGGCTGGTCTAGTCAAATTTCACCAAATTATAAACTAACCTAAGGTTAAACCACTGCACAGTACAGCTACCTCTGAATATACTATCCCTGCAGCAGAGTTAATATAATCTAATCCCTCTTCTGGCAGCCTGAAAGACTAAATTTACTGTTCTCTCATAAAAATCCAGGGGCTATCAAATGATTTAGCATAGCAAAAAAAAAATCTGTTGAATCTCCCACACACAAGCAGCTCCTGACTACATGGCAGCTGCTTTCTAGAAATGCCAGCTGGCTACCAATGGGTTGTCAGTGCTACACTGAAAGGGGGGAGCAGGACTGGCTAATGCCCCCTCTGACACTCATGCCCTGCTCCCCCATATTTTATGCAAAACAGAAGCGCAAATACTTACACCACCTCCGGCCCACGGATCCAAGTCTCCATTTGAAAATATGATGTTGCTTGCTGCTTTCAGGTCTGAAATTCAAAGAGATGATATTGGAGAGGCCCATTTCCCAAACTGCTTTAGAAAGTGTGAACAACAGGGGAAAATTGATAAGAATAAAACATGTTTTTGGCAGGTACATTGATTTTTCCACTTGTTTTTAACTACTGTGAAATCTGGGCTACATGCACAAAGCCAGGCTGCCAAGGCACCTTCCTCCTTACCCGACTTGCATGTGATGAGGCACAGAGCAGGGAATGAGGCACAAAGCTCTGCTATAAAAGAATGGCTGTCTTTTTTCAGAAAGACCAGCAGAACTGGCTTCTTTTCTAGCATGATGTTTCCACATACTGTTAGTACAGGAATCAGCAGGGAGAAGAGAGAGCCATCCGACTGAGGATTGGAGAAAGCCAGCAAGTGTCATAGCTGGGGGGAGGGGGTGGCTGGCATAAGGAAGATTGGGTTCATTGGGAGCACTGGGTGAGCCTTGCAGTGAGAAACTAGGACAAAAGGAGGGATTGGGGACTGGTTTTTGCCTTCTGCAGTTGTTCAAGGGCAGCTGCTCTCACTTGCTCCCAGCAATACTGCGCATATGCTCGTTAGCACCGAGTAGGCCCCACCCCATAATCCTATCCAAATGCCCAGCCCTGATATAGCACGTACCACTGCCCCAAAAGCTGATCTGCAGCCAATGCTTTCGTGGTTGCACAAGCCATTTGTTGTAGCAGTACTTCTGTCTCATGGTGTCAGTGAAGGGGATCTCAGGGAACATGTCAGTCACGTTATTGCTGCTGAAAGTTAAGTTGATCTCGGTGCAGGCCTGTGACATGTGGGAATTGTCATTATAGAAATGCAGGGACCCTGTCTTAAAACTCCACTGGCCCCTCAACAGTGTACCTGATAGTCCCATGCCTCAGCATCTGAGCCGGTGCCACAGCCTGTTGGGTCAGCACATTTTCTGTACTGGCTGTAGATGTCGTAACATGATGCTTTCCCACTTGAGTTGTAGAACACACCTGCCAAGCAGAAGGTTAGTGTTAAGCCAGTGTCAGTACCTCCATCTCAGCATTAAAAACAGAGCCCCATGTGCTAATCTGAGACAGTTTACAATCCAAAGGCAAGCTGGAGCAGGATGATGCAGCAGACGGTGGGTCAGGGGATACAGATTACATAATGGATCCAAGAGAATTTGAACCGTTCTTAGGTGGCCAGTGGTGGCAACCACAGCTCCTGTACCTGCCTGGTTGTTAGATCAGCAAAACCCCTGCAGTCTCTCTGCTGCCTGAGAGCTTGCTTTGCAATGCCCATTCTTTGAGAGAGCTTCCCTAGGTCTATTTCCTTCTGTGGCTTTTCCATCTCATTCCACACATCATCTGAAAACTTTTCGGGCCCATGGTGTACTGTCTTTAACTCTTCGATGCACTTGGTCCTTATTTCACATACAAGATGCCACAACAGGGAAGCCGACCCAAATTCTCAATACTCGGTTAAGTGAATGCCCACTCCCAACCTGAATGCTCTTTAGCCTGAATATAGCCACTTTCAGTATGACAGTCAATGCCAGCCCATCCAAGAAAGAATTCTCTTTGATCACTGTTTAGAAAAGGAAGGGTAACATGCCTGGACTCGCCCAGATTAACACAAATACCTAGGCCAACATGAGCCACTCAACCGTGGTAAGGGAGCTAGAGAAAACAGTTGCTTTTGTGTGGATGAATAGCTGCCAAATACGGAAGGGAAGAAACACGCTATTGTTTGAGTGGCCGTCAGCGAGCCTGCTCCCAGACTAGTTGGAAAGAAAAACACTGCAGATAAACATTCATGACAACTACCCCTAGACAGTATCGTTGCCAACAAGACTGTTCAGCCCTGCGAGGCACAGCGCTCAGCGCTCCTGCAGAAGCAACAACCAGGACTTGTTGCAAGTAACAGGTTAGCGAAGTACCATTAAATTTCAGGCAAGATTCTGGAAACTTGAGTCAGCTGTGATATAGGTCCCCCACAGGGGGAAACTAAAGGCTCTCCTGAAAGTCCCTATGTGGGAGACTGACTCCTCACAGACACCAGCTAAGATTTCTCCACCTGTCCGGTTTTCAAGGCAATGCTGCTCAGCACCCAGAGCTGTGGGTCGTGTCTCACTTCAGACACTTACCTGGCCAAACTCCTGGAGGGAGTCAGCAGCCTCCGGTCCCAGAACGCACTCTGCGACGTCACGCTGGAGGCAGATGGAGTTCGCTTTCCAGCGCACAAGATCATTTTGGCTTCAGTCAGCAATTACTGCAAGATCTTGTTTGTTGGAAATGCAGCAAGAGCCGGGAACACAGATGCGAACATCCAGCTGAAAGCCATCAGTGCCAGGGGGCTCAGGAACGTTCTCAATTTCATTTACTCCAACACACTGGATCTCTCGCTACAGAACGTTGAAGAGACGTTCAAGGCAGCAGAAGCCCTGCTTATCCGGGAAGTGATCAAACTGTGCTTCCGGTTTCTGGAAGACTGCCTGAATCACAAGAACTGCTTGGATGTTCTCAATATTGCTAAGAGGCTTGGACCAGAAGAGTTGAGGCAGAAAGCCACACGCTACATAGGGCAGCACTACAAGCAGATACTGGCTGATCCTCGACATGTGAAAGAGCTGGACAGAGTGACCCTATGTGAAATCTTAGACAAGACAGACATGGAGGGGTGCACTGAGCTGGAGCTATTCAATGCCGCCATATGCTGGTTGCAACATGACAATGCAAGGATGAAAGGAGCAGCAGATATTTTAAGGAGAATCCGACTGCCTCTCATTCCTCTGCGAGATCTACAGAGATATGTACAAGGGATGCCCATTATGAGGACGAATTCCGACTGCCACAAGTACCTCCAGCAGGCTGTGTGCTACCACTCCCAGCTCTACGCCCAGCCAGTCCTGCAGACCCAGCACACGAACATCCGCTCCAGTGCCACTAGCCTGCTTGTGGTTGGGGGCAGAACCCTCAACAACAGCGTGTGCAGTGACATGTGGGCTGCAGACGCAAGCTTCAGCACATGGCAAAAGATCGGGGAACTCTGCACACCCGTATACAACCACTGTGTAGCTGTAATCGGTAATTTCCTCTTTGTCATCGGGGGCCAGTACAGATTCGATCCGACAGGCAAACATCCTTCAAATGAGGTAAGGCCTGAAATAAAACAGCCTTAGGCTGGAGAGACTCCAGAACCCAGGGAAGCGTGCTGGCTCTACAGTGCTGTGGACACAGAGGCTCAGATAAGCTAAGGCCAACTTTATGACCTTGGTGTCTAAAGTTACGTAGGTGCCTGGGGTTGGTAAGCACTAGCCTTTAACTCGGAGACAAGTGGCTGCTAGAGATGTTTTTATTTAAAGCAGCTGTCTGGGATGAGAATGGCCCTCTCCCAGTTCAGAGCTACTGTGAGGATGCTGGCAGGGGAATGAGGCAACATTTGCTCTCTCAAAGAGGTGCAAGATGAAAAATTGTGTTGGACACAGGGTTGGAATCACTCCCTCCAGTCTGGCCAGAGCTCAGCATAGGACTCCTCCTTACAACATGCATCCTAATATTCTGTCCAGTTCTGCAAACACCCTAGAGATGGGGCTCCCTCATTCCCTTGGGAAATGGCTTGTTCCAGTCTACTTCAACCTCACTTGATTCTACACAAGTGGGGCCAGATTTGGGACTGAAGCAGAATGCATCCTCTGCAGGCAGAATGGTTCTAGCAATCCAAAAAAGTACTGTCTGTGTCCAGCTAAGAACAGTACCAGCATTTCTCCTGCCCATGAAAGATGAACAGCCCTTTACCCTGCCCAGGAACGAAGACCTCCTTTTGTTTTTTGTCAAAACTGCTAGCTCTGGTGGGGTTGCAAATGGCTGCTCTAAGAGGTCTCTAGTAAATTCTACTCCCTAGACAGGATTAACCTGGACGGCAAGTCCCTGTGCTGAGCTGAGAGTGCGCCACTCCTTCCATCATAGTCACTTCCACTTGTGGGACCCCAAACAATTAATTTCATCTTGGAGCTAGAAAATCCCAGGATGGGGAAGGCCCAGAAGCTGTTTCAGTGTCTGATGCAAGGGTGCTCAGGTGACAGTGGTACTGTGACTTCTGCCAGAAAACTGTTAACAACTAGGTGTGAATTAACACTTGTAGTCTGGCTGTGCCATGCACAGAGTGAGCCAAACACTTTCAGTGACGAGGAAAGCAAAGATTTCCATGCAGATGCCTTGTTCTGAGAGCTTTCGGTGTGGTGGCTTTACGTGGAAGAATTACATGGGAGAATTCCCAAGTGGCCCTGTCACATCCCTAGCAATCTAAAGCATCCTGGAGCGCAGTTTGTAACAGGCTCTTAGCATCTGCTGTGTTTACATAACTAGGGCAAAGAGTAAGCATAGAATTCACCAAGTTTAACTGGGTGGAGGGAGGGATATTTGAAGTCATCCTGGATTCAGAAAACATGTATGACATCTAGTGCAGTCTACATACAGGTAAGGCAGGGCAGACTGGGTTCTCTTCTGAGCATATTAAGCACCTTTAAAACAGAACCATTCAGGTTTGGCATTACCACCCTTGTTGCCTAGAGTAACAGTCTTTAAAGCCATAGTGCCCATTGGATGATCATGCACAAGTGAGGCCAGCTGACTGCTTTCCTCTCTAAACACTGATCCTAGGTGTTCCGGTTTGATCCCCGTACTGCTTCGTGGCTGCAGGTGGCCGGCATGTTAGAGAGGCGGACACGCTTCCACGTAGATGTGATGTCTGATCACATCCTGGCCGTGGGTGGCGGGACACTACTGGGGAACCTCACCAACACGATGGAATCCTACCAGCCTGCTGAGAACAAGTGGCAGTTTATGGCTCCCTGCCCAATGCCAGTGGCTGATCACGCAGGCACCACACACAAAGGAATCCTCTACATCTCAGGTGAGAGGCAGCTGCGTCACCTAGGCCAGTGCTTGGATAGCTCAGTAAGGGGAACCCGTATGGAGCATCCTAGTGAATCAGCTCCCTCTGCACTAATGTACTCAGTAATGCTGCTCTTTACTTGGGGTGCCATCTTGCAGAGAAGACTTAAAACTGGGATCCAGGTGAATTCCCACTGCACTTGCTGTCAGAGCAGGGCAAAGACAATTAGCTCCTCTGGGTTGAGGACCATTTCCTCCAATGTGTCTGTACAGTACCCAACACATGGGGGCTCCAATATTTACAGGGACCATTTGGGTACATTTAATAATTAAAACATTTAATTAATGTTGCTAACATGTTAGGAAATACAAAATAAAATCACAGTTGTTAATCTGGGCATGGTGTATGTGCAGTTGAATCTACTCCTGTCTTCTCCTGTGAAAAGCCCACTGTGTTACAGCAGTGATATAGTAAGATATAGGACTGACTTGACATAAGAACCCTTTTGCTTTAGAGCTTTTCATAGATTTTAAGGCCCTAAGAGACCACTGTGATAATCTAGCCTGGCCTCCTTACTTTAATTGTAACTGTGCCATCTTAATGGTGCACTTAATAGGCAATTACACTTCTGTAACCTTAAGAGGGGCATTTCCAAGACAGATCCTACTTTAGAGTCTCAGTAAGGCATAAAAGCAAGTCTGAAATGACAAGTCTACTGAAATAGTCTTTTTTAAAAAGCCCTGAATCCAGTGCAACGCTCTTGTATCAACTCAATGTATATGCAAGAGGGAGGAAAGAGAGTCTAGCAGACAGGGGACTAGCCCTAAACTTGGGAGTCGCGGTTCAACTCTGCTCTTCCATAGACTTCCTGCGTGACCTTGGTCATGTTAAGTGTCTTTGTGTTTCAGTTCCCCATCTGTATGATGGGGATGGACACACTTCCCTATGCCATAGGGTGCTCTGAAGAGAAATGCATTAAAAACATCATGAACTGTTTAGATATTACAATAATACAAAACCTTAAAATAGTCTAAGACAGTTCAGACTGTGGACTTGTCTACATCCCTCTTCTATTAAACTGAAAAATCAAGTATGCAATGCTAGTGTAAGAACT